AGCCAGTACCTCCCCTATTGCCTGGCTCCAGGCAGGCATGTAACCAGCAAAGGCTGGATTCGAACCCAGGTCTGAGCGCTGGGTGGTTTCTCCCCACTGCAGCCATCACACTAAGGGGCATTCGGGGGTTTTGTGCTAGGTCTGCTGGACTCTGGGCAAGATGGGAGTAGGCAGTGGGGTGGATGGGAAGTAGGAGAAGGACCCCCAGGCCCTGGGTGGAGGCAGGAGGGGCGGGGGGGTGGACAGGCACGCAGGCTTCAGGGCCCAGCAGCTCCCCGCCCTCCTCCCGTCTGCTCTGAAGAGAGACGGGTGCAGTGGGAAGGAGCCTCTGACGAATGGGTTTTTTTTAACCACTTGATCGTGATAAAGGATTTAATTTTATCCCCTTCCCTGGCTGGCTCTGGTTCTATTTGGAGTTTAAGCACGAGCAGGGGAGAGGCAGGGTCTCTGGAACACCGGACTCCCACTGCCAGGCCCCTGCCCTGCCTGTCCTAGCCACGACAAGGTCCATCTGGGGGACCGCCTCACTGTGCGGGCTCAGGAAAGCGAAGGGACTCCTGCCCTTCCCCCCCACGGGCGAGGGGAAGCTGCTTAGCAGAGAGAGGTGGGGCGGGGGTGGGGGGCAGCCGGGGAGCAGGAGGCAGCTCTGACTTGGCTTCTCTCAAAGGATCGTCTCATCTCTTTCATCCTCCCCAAAAAGGCATCTAACAAGCCCCTGATTGGTCTGGGGGTGCACTCCTCCCCGCCAGGAGCTGCAGACAAGGCCTCGCTCTGAGCGACTTAAGCAGAGGAGATGGGGGTGGGGGACACCCTCATGGGGACTTAATGATGATCACATGTGCTGACCACCCGCTGTGGGCGGGTCACTCTGCTAAGCCTGTCACGTGCATCATCTCATTCATTCTCAGCGACAGCCTTATGGGATGCTCTTGTTTTTCTCTTTTTTCCAATAATTAGATATTTGCCCCAAGTCACACAGCTGCCAAGTGTCAGATCCGGACTTTAATCTGCCCGCAGCCGGTGTGTCTCCTCAGCCCCCAACTGCACGAAGACAGAGATTCATCTTGTGGGTGGAAACAGTCTAAACTGCAGGCAGAAGAGAGTAACATTGGACCAGGGTTTTACTGGGTTAAAGCATTGTTGTGCAGAGTATGTCAAAGGCACAATTTTTTGTATTATTTTTCCCATTTTACAGATGAGAAAATTAAGGCCGAGACCTGCCCAAGGGTACAGAGGTCACAGTAAGGAGGCAGGGCTGCGGCCCCAATTTTGGAGCTCTTTTGCTGCCCTCACTTAGGGGCAGGTGTGCATCCAGGCAGGCTGGCCAGACACAGCTGTGAACAGGAAGAGCCGTACAAAGTGAGAGAGCAGCCTATTCTAGAAAAACCAGATCAGCCAGGAGGACGGCTGGGTCCCCATGGGGGGCTGATGGGAGGCCAGCTTCACGCCAGTCTAGCGGGGGGGCAGCAGCTCCGTTCGGGAGAGGAGGGCTGGCCCCAGGACGCAGCGCGGGTTCGCCCGCCTGACAAATATTTGTTAATCACCTTCTACAACAGGAAGTGACAGGGCTTGAGAACAGGGCCAATGCCAGGCTGGTCCTGGGGTCGCAGAGCTGGCCCAGGAGAGGACGCTGAGCAACCCTGTGATTCAGGACTTACCCCTCGCCATCCCTTTGCGTCAAAGCTGGAAGTGGCCGCAAACCCCGAGTCGGGGGTCAGACGACCTGGGCCCAAATTCTGGCTGCATCACACTGACCTTTAGCCAACTATGTGACCTATTTTGTCTTCTGTAAAATCACCTGCTTACCTCACACGTGACTGATGGGGGGGGTGTGAAGCGCCGCGCACCTGCCCACACAGGTGGCACCCAGTGCACATTCGCCGTGTTAAGACTGGGGCGCAGAGACACCTGCATGAAAGATGTTTGTGAAAACCCACCCCCTTCCACAGCCAAGGCCACGGGCCCGGAGGTGGAGTCTCAGAGGCTCTGGGTCTGAAGTCACCTCCTGCGGCTGTGCAGGTGGGGGGTCTCCCACAGGTGTGCACACAGGGCGGCCACCTGTTGCACACTCTGCTCCTTCCCTGGGGACTCAGCAGGAGGCCCAGGCAGGGTGGGGCTCAGCTCCTGTCGACTGCCACAGCTCCCTTGACCTCACTGCCTGAAGTTCTGGCAAAAACCACCCCCGGGGAAACCGTCCCTGAGAGGGCGGTTCCAATGCCAAGGAGAAAGTGAAGGCAAGTCACTGGCTGCTATCCAGCAGCTATGGCCCCCCAGCCCCCAAATTTCCTAAACACCCAGCTGTTGCCCCAGAAGAGAATGTGCCTTCATCAGGCAGAGAGGTGTTTTCTAAACAGGGTCTCCGAGTCAGCCTGGGCGATCTCCTCTCCAGGGAAGGGGTGGGCGGCGAGAGCGGCAGGGCAGAGGGCGGAGGGGACCAGCGCAGGAAGGCAGGGCAGGGGGGTGGTGCTGGGGTCCCTGGGCCCCACAGAGCTGCGGCCCCCGCCGCAGAACCAGGTGCAGTGCAGGGATCATTTTCGCTGCTACAAAGGGCCCTCCCCGTTCACAGGCGGGAGCAGCCTGGATTCTCACAGGTGCTATTCACCTGTGGGGACAGGGCATGAAGCACTTCATTCATTCTCCACCCCCCTCTCCCCAGGGCTGGGAAACACCGACCCAAGCAGGGAGCCCGACCCCCTGCCCCGGGCTCAGCTGGGCCCCCCACTGCCTCAGTCCTGCCCGCTGAGTCCCCACCGGCCATGTGTACCTGCGCCTAGGAAGGTGGCCGCGAGGGCTGCCTGCCGAGTGGGCTGAGGGACCGTGAGAGACCCAGCCCTGCCCCCAACGTTCTCCCTTTTCCTGCTTAAGTGTCACCTTTCTTACGTGGCCTAGTTCCTGCTACAGACGAAGGGAGTTAGACAGCTCCGGGTGGGCTCCCCTGTCTCAGCTCATCTCTGCCACCCCATGCCTCGGTCTCCTCACTTGTAAAATGGAGATGCTAGTGGTGCCCACCCTGGGCCTGTGGGGGCCGGGCCGGTGGGACCAGGGCCTGCCAGCTCCTCCTTCTCTGCTCAGGGCCCAGCTGAGAAGAGCCAGCCAACTCCAAGGTCAACCACCTCAGTGCCACTCAGAACCCCGGGGAGTGGGGGGCCTGGGGAACTTGATATGCGTCTGTAATTTCTAGGTATCACGGCTGTCTTGTTTTGTCTTTCTTTCAACAACTGTAAACTCCCCCCTGGAAAAGGAAGTTCCAGAGAAGGGCAGACCAGCTCAGCACCCGGAGGAGCGTCTGAAGATGGGGGCATTATTGTGCGAGGTAGTGAGTTCCCCAGGGTATCCCAGCAAGGGTGGGACAGGCTCTTTTCAGAGACATTTTGGAGGGGGCTCACGCGCCTGGCCACTGCATGGGCTGCTAGACAACCCCAGCGTCTGTCTCAATACTAAGAGTGAAGAATGATGGCAACTGTGCCGGCTGTCACCGTAGTCTATACACCCCATAGCACTTAGCACACAGTGAAACTCTTCGAAAAGGAAATAGAAGCAGTGAGCCTATATAATTAGCAAAAAAAAAAAAAAAAAAAAGGACAAAAATGGGATGATGAGGTATAGAAATGAAAAATTCTAGAAAATGCTTCCAAAGCAAAAATTCCTAAGGCAGAAATGACTACAGCTTCTAAATTTGAATTACATCTAAACACCCATAAATCCTCCATTTCCGGGATGATGGAAGGGACAGATATTCTGCCTGGACTTTTGCTACAAGCATTCTGAGAACCGCTGCCATCACACAGGATGTTGGAGTGTGTGGCACGGGAGGGGCCTCACGCCTACGACATGCTCAGTGTTGGCTCAAGACCAGGGAGGGCGAGGTCCCCTCGGGAGATTACTGACCTCAGCCTAGTCTCGGATGATATTTGGAATCTCCGGGTCAGAAAGGGGCTCTGCCTTCCTGCGGACCAGTCAGCTGGGCTGGGTAGATCTGGAAACTCTTCCAAACTCCGAGCTCCGCTCCAGATCACAGACACCTCAACCAGCAAACTGGTGTTTTCTTCCCTCCTGGGCGCCTTCGTGGGGAGGGAGGGGCAGCACAGGTCACATGACGCGTGGAAGTCAGCCAGTGCCCCCAACTCGGCGGGAAATAACTCAGCTCACGCACCAAGCTATTAAAAATCTTTATTGCTAATTTTCTTCTCCAACAGATAGATATTTTCAGTTGAAATACGAAGCCACGGCAACACTTTCACTTTTCTTCTTCAGAAGATGAGACGGATCAGGCCTTCGCTGTTACAAGAGGGAGGCCATGACCTTGACAAGGACAGGCTGGGGCAGAGAACACAGCATGGGCCATGACGCGGACACTCTATGGGAGCAACAGGTACAAAGAGAGGGGCAGCCAGCAACACAGGCACCTGCCCCTGGTAACAGATGCTACAACCTGGGGGAGGGGGACAGAAGACACTCACCTTTCCCCGGGGAGCTGCAGGTCACGGAGCTGAGCGTGAGTGTGCTTGTGAGTGTGAGTGTGAGTGTGTGGGTGTGTGTGCTCACACAAGCGCATGCGCACACACACTGCCCTGGAGGAAGATGCTCTGAGGCCCCTGTTGGGGTCCCCACTGTCCTCGTCCCCTGGGGATCAACGGCCTCTGCAGGTAACAGTCAGCTCGCCAGAGTCAGGGGCCTGTGCGGGGAGGAGGAGGGGACAGGGTCCAGGCCGTGACACCCGAGTCCTCCTTCTGGGGCGAGACTCAGCACAGCATGAGCCTCCACGGACCACAGGGCTCTCTGGGATCATGCCTGGGGCACGGTGACAGTCAGCCCTGTGCTTCGCGACAGCCTCGAGCCCTGAGAAGTAGGTGTTTGGCTCTGAGAGTCTTCTGGCTCTGGGACCCAGGGCAAGAATGGGTGGCTGCCTGAGGGGAGGGTGGAGGCCTCCCACTTGGAGGCCGGCATCTTCTTCTACCTCCCTGCCCAGACTCCACCTCCGTGGCGGGGGGGCAGGTGGGAAGAGTTGGGGTGCCAGCAGCCACTCAGAGACAAGGGCTCGGCAGCAGGTGGAGGGCCTGCCTGTGGGCCTTGCTCGGTGAAGCGCTTCGTAAATGAACACTGTCGCTGCTCCTTCCAGGCCGACATGGAGGGAGCCTTCGGGAGGCAGGGCAGTGAGAGGCCCAGGCCCGGAGGAGAGAACCCCGCTGGGTGCTGGCCAGGTTCTGGGTCCCAGTGGCAGACACCTCAGGAGCCTCACTGCGGGAGGGGAGGCGTGTTTGGAGTCAAAGGACTCTCAGGATTTGTGAGCCGAGCTGGGGTCTTTGTGTGGGTTCCGGTCCCCTGGGCAGAGAGTGACCTGTGCTACATCATGGAGGGTCATAGCTGGGGGCGCAGCTCCTGTCCTCTACGGGAGGAGCCCCCGGATGAGGCCTCGGGCAGTGGGACACAGGGAGTGGCGACAGGGCAGAGCGGCCCAGCGCCGCGCCTCTGCTTAGCGCAGGCAGGCGGGCCAGGAGTTCCCTCCCGTCCGGGGAAGCTGGCTGGCTACAGCTCCTGGGCGTGAGGCGCACAAACCCTGGCTAACGATCGGTCACCTCTGAGCTCTGGGATGCCCCTTCAGGACAACACAAATCTCCTTGGGGGCCCCATTTTCCAGCTGAGGATCCTGCTTAGGGTCCTCAAGGTCCCCTTGCTGGCGGAGCCCGGTGCAGTCACTAAAGCCAATGCACCCTCCAGGCGGACCGGCTGCAGTGGGACTGCAGGCGGCGGAGTCAGGGGAGGCCATGGCAACGGGGAGTCACGGGCGAGCCGATGGGAAACCGAACACACATAGCAAGAGCCAATCAAATGCAAACACAAACAAAACATGTAAAAGCAGCAAGCTCTGTGTAATAAATATTGCAAAGCGCACTTGGTTTCTTTTTTTTTTCAAGTCAAATATAACAACCAATGTCCCAAACCCTGTTTTCAGCGTTCAAAAGAGAGAAGCTGGTGCTATCAGCAGAACACCTGCAGCCAATCAAAGAAAAAACCGTTTCCCATCAGCCAGCCAATCGGACATCTTCACGTTCCTAAAAAGTGACCCCAAAAAAGCACCAGAGCTCGGAGAGCTTCCTGGGAAGCCATATACCGAAGCGCAAATTTAAAAAAAAAAGACAGAGTCAGAAATAAAAATAAAGGGTTTCCGTTGGTCAAGATTTAAAAATAAAAAGGTTTCTTCCTGCAGCCAATCATGAGTCCGCCCCTTTAAGCCAATCAGAACCGCACCGCTGGAGTTTCCCCTCGATGCGGCCCTGCTGAGTGGCCGTGGGGCGAGGTGGGTGGGGTGCTGAGGGTGGGGAAGGTGACCTGCTTGCTGCCACTCAGCCGGACGAGGTCCACACAGATCTCTTGGCCCTTGCCAGCTTTCAGGGTGTTCCAAGGTGTTCGTCGCTACTGCCTTCGGTCCTCTGTCTCCGACCTGGAAAACGCCATCACCACGTCCTCTGCGCCTGTGGACCAGGGGAAGAGGCTTGCTGGGTGGGCCTCTGGCACCCGGCTGAGGCCTGGGACCAGGCCAGGGGGCCCCGCCCCCAGGGGCAGCGGCAGTCCACCCTCTCGAATGCAAAGTGCTTCTGAGCAAGCCCACCTCCCCTCTAGGCGGTCCTCGTTGTAGGGGCGGGGCGGCGTGCCAGCAACCCTACTGTGGGCTGTGGGCTGCGGGCTGCGGGCTGCAGGCTGCGGGCGAGGCTCAGGCTCCAGCCCTGGAGTGAGGCCCCGCTCAGATCCCTTGCTCTGAAGTCGCCAAAGCCAGGGACCCTTCGGAGCCACTCCTCTTTGCCCAAACCCGACACCTGTTCCAAGGAGCGCGGCCAGGCCTGCTTCCAGCCCCCAGTCAGCCTGGCCCTACGGAGACAGATAACAGCCGTAACCTTTATTATTGTTGTGGATTTGAGAATCTGGCCCAGGGGCTCATGAAATCATTTCCTTTGTCCTGCTTTCCATCGGACAGGTTCTGACATGCAGCCAGAAAAGCAAGGGGGGGGCCGTGGGGGTGGGTAGGGAAAGCGCTGGAAATACTGACCTGCCTGAGGCACCAGCCCTGTGGGGCAGGTGAGGTAACCAGCGGTCCTACTGCCCTCTGGGCCCTGCCTTCCCCCTCCTGCCACTTTCTCCCCTTTTTCTAAAGGACAGTCGGTTGCCTGTGGCCTGTGGCCTTTCAGACGTACTTGTCTTGTGTACTAACAGGAGGAATTCTCCCGGGAGGAGAGGACTGGAACAGAGACACAGCAAGGCCCCCGAGGGGCGAGCCGGAGTGGGAGGTGCACAGGGCAGCTTTGCCCGACTCTGCCCCTGGCACAGCGCTGGCCCCTTGTCCACGCCACGCAGGGCACTCTCTCCTTCACACTGGCGGTCCCCTACTGACCTCCTTCCTACCTGTCCTGCCTCGTGGACAGTGGAGGGGGCTCCTGCCATGGGCGCAGCAGAAGGAGGGCCTGCCCACAGGATGCAGCAGGGCAGAAATGTGCCTTCAATGTGGCACCAGAGCACAAGGCGCTGTAACCACCCTCCCTACCTTGACTGGGCTCTGAGCTGCTCGCCCTGGAGAGGGTTCTGGAAAGGAGCTCTGATTGTCTGACTTCTTGGGATGGGGCTCCTTTGCTCGGGAAATCCTACCAACCCTTCCCGTCTTCTCAGGAATGTTCTATTCTCGCCTCAGTACCGGGCCACGCAATATCGCTGCAGGCAGAATTTTCCTAGCAACCACAGGATCCAGGATTACATCATACCCTGCACAGCCGCTGAGCCGGTTACCTAACAGATGCCGGCTTTTCCCCGGTGCCGCCTCCCCAGCTCGCTCAGCAGTGGGGGGCAGGAGGGCCACCGCGACAGGGGAGCTGTGGGCATGAGAGCCAGCGCTGCGACGAGCAGCAGGAGCCCCTCACTCCTTTCCTTGCCTGTCCTGGGGGCTCTCTCCCCCGGGGGCTCTCCTTGGGGCTCTGTGCTGAGCTGCAGTCACAGGGAGAGCACAGGTGGCCCCAGGAGGGAGGGGGAGTCGGCAGAGGGAAGGGCCCCTGGCTTCTTGGAGGAGCTCCGACCCAGAGGCTGGCCCCCCCGCCCCGCCAGCTGCCTGGTATGTGCATCCAGTCCACACTCCCAGAGTCAGAGGAGCAAGCAACCGCCTCAAGGTCACCCAGGGACTCCGGTGACCATTTAACAAGACACCTGAAGCAGAGGATTTGCCAGAGTCCCGCCTGTGCCACGCTGCCAGCCTGTCACTGCATTGAAGCGGGGGTGGGGAAGGCCGGGAATCCGCGGCTCTCATTTATAGAGCCGCCCACTCTGCTGCGGGAGCTGTGGGCGGAAAGGGCCCCCAGCGCGCCTGCCCATCCAGGCCCTGGACTGTCCCCAAAGGGCCCTGCTGATTTCTAGCCCTCACCACAGGGACCTGCTTTCCTTTGGGGGCCAGGGGAGGGAGGCTCTTCCAGAGCATCCTCTGACCTGACCTGGCGGCCTGGCACCCACCCTTTACCAAGGCCCGGCCACGAGCCCGGCAGGCCTCTAAGCCAGGACGCCCCTTCCTTCTCCTTTTCTCCAAGGTGTCTGGGCCGGTTACCTCCCAGGGCGGAGCTGCTCGGTTAGTCGTCAGGATTCAAGCTGCTAGGGCTTCGGAGCCAGGGAGGACCTCAGAGGATGGTCACCACAGTCCCCGCTTCCCCTTTAAAGGCCAGCATGTGGTGTCCCCCTTGGGTGTCCTCACTGTCGTGGAACCATGGGGCTCAGAACAGGAAGACGCTGTGAAGAGGCCAGTGGGCCGGCCCCGGTAGCAGGTAGTCAGCGAGGCTTTCTCTCCCATTTCCCAGGGAGGCTGTGCCTGCCTGCGGTCCCTCTGTGGGCACCGTCGGCACCTGGCTCAGAGCTTCTGCTCGTCCCGTCCCACCAGACAGGGGACAGTGCGGGAGGGGCAGCTGATCCGCCTCTCCTGTCCGCACTCCCTAACACAGCCAAAGACAAAAATGGCCAGAACCAGACAAATACATCACAAGAGAAAAAACCACAGACCAGTATCCTTTATGAATATAGATATTCCTAATACCTATGATATGCAAAAATACTGAAAAAAAAATACTAGCAAACTGGAAAAAGCAACACATAGAACTAATTATATTCTGTGACCAATGAGACTTTTCCCAGGAATGCAAGGTTAGCTTAATATCAGAAAATCAGTTAATGAATAGCAAACAGGACAAAATCCATATAATCATCCGAACAGACACAGAAAAACATCTGATAAAATTCAACACCTGTCAGTGGTACAAACATCCAATACACTAGGAATAGAAGGAACTTCCTCGATCTGACAAAGGGCATTCACTAGAAACGCAAACTGTTATCACATTGAATGAGGAAAGGCTGGATGTTCTTCCCGTTAAGATTGGGAAGAAGAAAAGGATGTCCTGCTCTCACATTTCTATTCAATATTGTGTTGAAGGTTCTATTCAGGGCAATTTGGCAAGAAAAAGAAATAAAAGGCATGCATATTGGAAAGGAAGAAGTAAAACTACATTTGTAGATGACATGGATCTTATACATAGAAAATCTTAAGCAATCCACTAAAAAACTATTATAACTAATAAATTAAAGTTACAGGATATAGGATCAATATACAAAAATTATTTGTATTTATATACACTAGCAATGAACAATCTGAAAATAAAAGTAAAAAACAACTTCATTTACAATAGCATCAAAATTAATAAGATTATTAGAAGTAAACTTAACAAATGAAGTATAAAATCTGTGTTCTAAAATATATAAAATATCATTGAAAGAAATTCAAAACAATCCCTATCAAAATCTTAGCTTTTTTTTTTTTGCAAAATTTGACAAGCTGTTCCTAAAATTCATATGGAAACACTAGGATCCAGAACTGTCAAAATAACCTTGAGAAAGAACAAAGTTGGATTCATACTTTTGGGGTCAAAACTTACTACAAAGCCCTGGCTGATGTGGCTCCGTGGGCTAGGTGTCATCCTGCAAACCAAAGGGTCGCTGGTTGATTCCCAGTCGGGGCACACGCCTGGGCTGCAGGCCAGATCCCCAGTAGCAGGCACACAGGAAGCAACCGATCGATGTTTTTCTCCCTCTCTCCCTCCCTTCCTCTTTCTCTAAAACTAGATAAATAAAATCTTAAAAACAAAAAACTTACCACAAAGCTACAGTAAACAAGACTGGATGGCTGGCCATAAGGACAGACATGTAGATCAATGGAACAGAATCAAGAGTTCAGAAATGAACCCTCTCATTGATGTCAACCAAGTTTTGACAAAGGTGCCATGGTGACCCAGTGGGAAAGAGGTGAACCATTGGTGTTGGAACAGCTGGATATTCCCACGTAAAGGACGATATTGGACCCTTAACTCATTCACACCGTATTTAAAAAATTATCTCAAAATAGACCAATGGCATAAATTTAAGAGCTAAAGTTATAAAACCCTTAGAAGAAAACATAGGAGTAAATCTTCATGACCTTGGGTTAGGAAATGCTTTCTTAGATATGATGCTCAAAGCACAATAATAAAAGGAAAAAAATAGATACTCTGGGCTTTATCCAAGTTAGGAACATTGGTGCTTTAAAGGGTATTAGCAAAGAGTGGAAAGGCAACCCAGAGAATGGGAGAAAATATGTGCAATGCCTATATCTGGTAAGGGATCGGTGTCTGAAATTTATAAATAACAACTCAATAATAATAAAAAATCAAACGACCAAATTTTAAAGCTGGACGAAGAGCCTGAGTAGACATTTCTCCAAAGAAGATATCAGAATGGTCACCAAGCCCATGAAACATCATTAGTCATCATGGAAATGCAAATCAAAACCGCAATGAGACACCACTTCACACCACTAGGACGGCGGGACCCAAAAAGTGAGACAGTAACAAGTATTAGCAAGGGGGTGGAGAAATCAGGACCCTCCGCCTCTGGTGGTGAAGTGTCAAATGGCTCAGCTCCTGAGCCTGCCCCACCACAGCCTTCCCCGCCCCTGACAGCTCTTCCATTCTCTCAGCCTCGCTCAGGTCAAAACCCCTGATTGCCCAACCCCCACCCCACCCCCTCCAAAGACAGCACATCGGCAAACCTATTGACTCTCCCTTTAAGATCTACCCTGAATACGTCCTCACGTTTCCCCTACCACCACCGCAGCCCAGACCACCACCCCTCACTAGCCTCCTGTACCCCCTTTCCCGGGACCCCCTCACGTTGGCCCCTGATGGTCCGTTTTCCACGCGGCAGTCAGAAGGAAGTTCCTAGGAACACACATCAGACTTGCCATTCCTTTGCTCGAAACTCTCCAAAGGCGTTTTATCTCAAGACATCTCATTCCACTCAGAGGAAACTCCAACTCGGCACACTGTGGGCTGCAAAGCTCCACGTAATTCGGCCTCTGGGTGCCTCTCCCCCCCTTCCCCTCCAGCCACGTGGGCTCCCGGCCGTCCTCCCGCACAAGCAC